CCGGGCCCCTCTGGCCTCGGGCCGCTATGCCGCGCCAGAAATGCCAACTCGGTGCCCATAGCTGAGTGGAACCGCCTGTCTAAAGTAAGGCGTTGACGAGACTGGAGACATCCTGCCACGTCCGCTGTGATCAATGGGTCTTTGTTGGGAAACTGCGTCTGGGCTGCTCACGCTGTCTCCTTCCGTGACCCCTGTTCTGCTCTCGAACCCCTCCCCCGGCCCCTCGCGAGGCTGCAGGAGTAAGGGCGAGGTAAATCTTGCATCTAACAGGATGCTGCTAAGCGTCACACAGGTAGGAGCCAGGCATTTCATCGCTGCCGCCACTCAACACCCCAAATCTTCAGCTTTCCTGTCACCTTTGTTTAGAAGAGGTTTTGGGGGTTCTTGTGGGCAGCCGGGTGTGATAGTAACTAGTTTCCTAACAGACAAAAAAAAAAAAAAAAAAGGTCTTCTAAGCCGCCTGCATTAGCGCAGACACACGTAGGCCCTGGGGAGTGACCCCCACACGCAGGCCGGTCGCTGAGCAGGGGCGGCGGGCGGTGGCGGGGTTGGGGCTCCCCAGCACAGCACGGCGCACTCAGCACCTGCCAGCCTCCTCTCTCCTCCAAAGGCTGAATAGCCAAGAGAGAACCCCCTAAAACTGTTTTTGCTCAATAGCAGGTAGAGGCAGCTCATTCGCCCTAAGACAACTTTTCTTTGTTCAATAGAAAGGGACAGGCTGGGGACTGGGGCTTTCGTGCCGACCCCACCTCGGCGAGTCCCGGCGCCAGCGTCCTGTTGCTCAACACCTCTGTGGCACGGAAAGCCTGTTAGGCCAAGGAAAACACACGTGTTGACGCACACGTGCGCGACCTTGGCAGGAAGGCTCGCAGGCGAGCACACCCTGGCGTCCTGGGTCCGCGGCCTTTGCGAAGGGCGGTGGGAAAGATGGCTGACTCGAGTCTCCGGAGATTTCTGGTGACAGTGCTCTCTCTGGCTAAGAAACAGCTGTCTGGAAACTGTTTTGAAAAGCGGCAACACCCTCCCTGACAGGCTGCACAGACCGGAGTGAGGTGGGAGCAGGCCGGGGAGCTGCAGCACAGCTGTTGAGGAAGCCCCACGCACGGAGACCGCAGTTCTCGGGTGCGAGGCAGGTGGGGGGCGTGGAAGGCATCGGCCCTTCACGAGGACAGGAGACGCGCTACCCCTGGCGTCGGTCCGATGACACACCGCGCAGACAAAGCCAGCCCACAGGACACGGGCCTGACCTTGGCCACACCTCGGCATAACTGGTTTGCAGAATCATTTCCCCATCCTCTCCTGAAGCCTGTTCAATATGGAATCAAACAATGTCAACTCTGGCAGGGATCCTCCTGGATACACACGAGAAAGCATGAGGTGGGAACGCCAGGGCTGCACTTTTCATCCAGGACAGGTGCGAGCCTGCCTGGCACTCGCAGGGCTTGCCGATGGCTCTCGCGTGCAGCGCAGTGGCACAGTGGGCTGGAATTTCATTGTCTCTGCTGGGGTGGGTCTTATCCTGCCTCACCAACTACCTGCCCCAGTGGAAAAACCGCAACCTGGAGTTAAATGAAATGGAGATCTGGACCCAGGGACTCTGGCAGACCTGCGTCGTCCAGGAGGAAGGTGGGAGGCAGTGCAAGGCCTTCGACTCCTTCCTGGCCCTGCCTGCCGAGCTCAGGATCTCCAGGGTCTTGATGTTCCTGTCCGACGGGCTGGGGCTCCTGGGCCTGCTGGTCTCTGGCCTCGGCCTGGACTGCCTGAGACTCGCGGCGGGGCAGCAGGCTCGGAAGAAGCGGCTGCTGGCCTGGGGGGGCGGCCTGCTCTGGACAGCGGGCCTGGCGGTGCTGGTGCCCGTCTCGTGGGTGGCCCACAGCACCGTGCGGGAGTTCTGGGACGAGACCCTCCCTGCCATCGTGCCTCGGTGGGAGTTCGGGGAGGCCCTGTTTCTCGGCTGGTCCGCCGGGTTCCTCCTGCTCCTCGGAGGCTGTCTGCTGGGCTGCTCCGGCCGGGCCCCTCTGGCCTCGGGCCGCTATGCCGCGCCAGAAATGCAGCCTCACTGCCAACGCCTGCAGATGAAAAGCACCCCGCCGAGGCTCTGAGCCAGGAGGGTCAGCGGTGTCCCCTTCCACCTTCAGAGACAGACGAGGCTACAGGGCCCCTTTCCCTCTGCTGGCGATTTTCAAAGTGCATCTTTCTCCCTCCACGGGCTACTAGCTTCTTGAACAAGAATTTCTAAGACGGTAAGCTACTTGCATTTTCTGCTCTGAGCAAAAACAGTCAAGACTTAATAGTAATACTGCTCACTGCAGCAGATGAGTTTTCCCAACTCGGAAGCAGATTCCAGGACAGCGCAGACCGGTAAACGAGACATTCTCTTAGGCCTTACATGTCCTTGATGGTGTTATGACAGCGACGAATCATCTCGGCAAGGGGAAGTGTCACTGCTGATCGCTACTTCTCTCAAGTGTCCAAGCTCGCCTACTATCCGAAAACTTAGACAGTCTCCCTGAATATTTATTTGACATGCACATCCCATTATACGGACAAGAAAAATGGCTGGCTCCGTGAAAGCGTGGGAGGTGAGTCACGCCTGACGCAGCACGTCCTGTGACGGGAGACCTCGGTCCAAGGGGCTTCTCAGCCGCCGTCCGGCCGCGCCTCTCCTCTGCTGCCCGGGGGGCGGGGGGGCCGGGCAGGGGGGCCGTGGGTTTGGGAAGTCACATGACGGCACCTGCACCACCGTGCTTTGGGCTCCGGTGCCGGGCGCCCGCCGTCCTGCCCACCCTGGCCCCCCCCCCGCCCCAGAAGCCCTGGCACCGAGGCCCCGCGTCTGGGGCACAGAGCCTGGGCAGGTGACTGGCCTGGGCCCTCCGGTGCCCGCCTCGCCCAGTGGAGACCCTTCTGCATTTTCAAAACCAGCAATACGCACTGTCCAGCCCAGAGCGCTCCTCGGGCCGGGGGCATTCTTTGCGGAAGATTTTATATTTGCTCTGGACGTGACTCAAGTAAACTTTTGTGTCTGTGCCAATCAAGGAAATTAACTGAACGATAAAGGACACTGAAGTAGAGTATCAGGCAGTAAGTATCTGTTACAAAAAAAAAAAAAAAAATTCCCACCCCCACACAAAAACTGCAGAAACCAAAGTGAATCTATGTGGTGTATTTGCATACTTTTACAAACATGACAAATGACAACAGAAACATATTCAGAATTTAACCTGATTAAATATTTAGTTCAGTCCTGAGCTTTTGATATTTAATACAATATAACGTAGTAACAAAAAAAGATTTTAAATTGATTTGACTCGCAGGCTACAGAGATTCAGCTCAGCGTTGTTCATTTGGCCAGCAATATCCTTTGTGTACCTATAACAGATTCTGATATACAAAATTGTAGTAACATACTGATAATTCAGACTGGAGAACTAAATATTACATTCTTTTTACCCTGTGCAGAATAAACTCTACCTTTAAAAAATAGTATTTATAATATTAAAATTCTTATTTGTCCGTATGGTTTTGTGATGAAGTTATTAAAATGCTCTGTCATTGTGAATCATTGGGGTTAGTACAAATACGAGAGTTCTGTTAAAAGCTGCCTGTAAATACATAACACTATTGCTGATTTTTAAAGTGTGGGAAAGAGTTATATGAAGATGAGCTTGTCTCTCATGTTAGAAGTGAGAAAGTTTGTGTCATAAAACCAAAAGCATCTCGGGCACGCTGCTAACACTATCAGGCTGAGGCAGATGTTGTTCTTTTATACTCGTGTGAAACTTTTCGTGTTACAGAAAGCTAACAGCTCATCTGGTGAAGATGTGTAAAGCTGTAAATACGCCGATATTGCCTCTTCTATGTCAGACATTTAAAAATGGCCAGAACCGAACTATATATTAAACAGAACATAAATAAGACCGTAAATAAATAAATGAAGAAAATAAAATCGTACGGTACAACTACACATAATTCTATAAACATTTCATGGTCAAACTAAGAAGCTGGAAACAGCTGACCTTCATTTGATTCTACATTAAATAAACTCCTTTCACATTTGACCTTGACGAGGACGAACGATACTCTCTCTAGTTCTCCTTAGTCATCCGACAGCCTCGCAGGTCTGCGCCGGGCCGACTCAACAGGCTGATTTTTGTTCAAAGTAGTGTCATGTCCAGTTACAACTTCAAAGACATTTGAATATAAGCGACGGGACACGGAGGAAAAACACAAAGTTCTAGGCTCAGAAATGGCTTCATCTGCATTTTGATTCCCACCAAGTGGACGCTCCGAAACACGGATACTTACTTTCAGGAAAGTGAGCTCGTGCTGCTGAGGGTTCGAGCTTAGGAACAGAAGCTGAGCCCCACCCCGCCCCGACGCAGCCCCCAACCCGTCCCAAGGCCCTGCTCCTTTAAAACGATTTCTGCGTCTCAAAAGTTTTGGTTTAACTCGCCACCTAAGGTGACTAACCCAAAACGACCTGTTTCAGTACAGCTGACCGAGCTCTAAGTAGCGTGCAAACCCCACTGGCACCACCGACCTCAGAAGCCTCAAGGCTGCAGACACCCGCTGGCAGAGACACCCGGGGATCTGTTTCCTCCCAGAAGTGTCCGGGTCAAGTCAGCTCAACGGGGGGTCACTTTAAGTCTCCAGACTTGTTTCTCTAGACTTTTCTTTCTTTCTTTCTTTCTTTTTTTTTAAACAGATGACTTAGCTTACACTCAAGTCAATCATCTCTCCAGGCACACTCTTCTGTCTCCCAACTCCTTCCCATAAGTAGAGCTAGGATCCCCTAAAATAACAACTGGGAAAAATCTCTAGCAAGCATCAGCAATCTGCGCAGCGACTGTTTTGCAGTTTCGGCCCCTGGTTCCATCGGACGCTGCTGCTCAGTTCCCGGCTCCCGGGGCTGCACAGCCCACCCCAGAAGGCGGGGCCGGCGCCGCCCCCCCGCACCCCTGCGCCTGGGGTGAGGCACTCCCGGTGCCAGCCCCAAGCCGCACGTGCACCGCTGGGGCGCCCTGGTGTGTCTCGGGGTGCCTGTCTTCCCCTCCCCCGCCGCTCCCCCTCACTGTCAGGAATCACAAGCCCCCAGCGTGGCCAGGAGGCCGCTCCTTCACATTCTTACCTTCGGCGCGGCCATTCTGTTTTGGTTTTCTTTAGACCAGAGGGAAAGGAGGGAAAGTGCTCTGGCTGCGGCTGGCACCCCCGCAGGCCAG